CGCGGGGCACAGGGTGGGGAGCTCCCGGGGCTGGGGTGTGCCGGTGCTCGCTGTAAATATCGGAATGTTAGAGCAAAGCAGCGTAAAAAATTAAAAAATCGACACGGCTCTGGGTACGGAACGAGGGCACATCACAAAATGCAGCGACAATAATAATGATGATGATGATGATAATAATAGTAATAATAATAATAGTAATAATAGTAATAATTCGTGCTTTTACAGCACCTGTCACCAGAAGGACAGGAAAATACACCACGGAGGCTCTGTGCGCTCCGCTTCCAAACACGAAGCAGAAATGACGGGCATGTCGCGCTCCGGCACTCGCGTTACGGGCACTGCTGGCGGTAACAACCCCTGGCACCCTGGGCGCTCCGCAGATTCCCCCGTTCCAACCCCGGAGCGGCGGAGGGTGAGGAAAACCGAGCCGCCAAGAGGCTGCGCTCTCGCCCAGCCTTGGTGCGCTCTGCGGCCGCGCTGGGAAGTCCGGCCAGACTTCCTAGCGCCAGGCTTGGCAGGGCAGCGGAGCTCCCCAGGGGTCCCCGTCCTGCACGCACTCCCACGGAGGAGCGGCTCCCTTTTCGCAGAATAGCTGCGGGCGGATGAGGTGCTCTAAGGTCACTCTCCGAGGCAGTTGTCGTGTCGGAAGTAGGAGCCGGGGCTCTTAAATCATGGCTGCTATGAGCAAGCCCGGCTCAAATCCAAAGCCAAAGTCAGGTCTGGAATGAATGCACCCCACTAAACGTGGCACCAGGTAGAGCACACGTCAAACTAACATACCGTGCAGGCAGGGCATCCCCGGGGTGTGTGTCCTGGATCCCTGAATTTGGGGCAGGCAGGAGGGCAGGGATAATTTAAATGCCCAGTTCTGCCTATATTCACATGAGCAGGTCAGGGATGCGACAAACAGGCCCGGCATTTGCAGAATCTGGATCTAAATTAGGCAGAAAGTGGCTAGATTTGGGGCAGGCTTATTAAATGTTAACCAGACTATACCTAGCCAGGTACAAAAATCTGCTCAAAATCCAGATAGATAGGTGGAAAAACACTGGGAAGGGGATGAATGCTGTTTGCTGGCATCAGAAAGAATAGTTTAGGAAGCCTCGTTACAAAGCTGGAGTCTGAGGAAGGCAATTGACTCCTTGCTTCACCTCCAAATAATTAAAGGTAGGAGGGGAGCCCAGGGCACAGCCCTGCGGTCTTCAGGTGATAGCAGGGGCCAAATCAGAACAGCATCAACATTTAGTTCTGCACATGCAAAAAAGTCCCATTGCTTTTAAAATGATGCCTTCTGCATCCTGAAAAATGGAATTTGGGTAATATTTTTAGTTCAATGTCTTGTCCTACAGCGTGTGGAGTAACCTCACATACACTGAGACTGATTTCCTCACTTCCTCAGAGAACCTCAATCTCTTTTCCCTGTGATGTGTATAGCAAATCAAGATGGGGGGAAAAAAAAAGTTCCTTTTCATTCCAATATTTGTGGTGAAAGACATGTTGGACGTGCTCGTTAATCCACACGTTATACTTTTTAATTTTTCAAAACTTGCCAGGCTGTTACAAATGAGATTAAAATCTCCTTTTTTAATTTTCCCCCTTGTAGCTCTCTTCCTTCAGCCCTGACAGCTAGGATTACTTTATTGTCATGAGGGAAGTGACAAAAAGCACAGTGTGCCATGTGCTGGGAGGAGATGGAGGACAGGAAGGGGGTCCAGGAGCTAATATGAATTTTTGGCCCTGCCACAGGTTCTCCAGGTGACCCTGGGCACCTGCCTTTCCCTGTGAGTAGGGACCTGGGCTTTGGCACCTCTGATTTCCCACGGGTACAGCTGGGCCATCAGCACTTGCCCGCTTTTGTGATCTCTGCAGGTGAAAATTGTCCCAGAAGTGCTAAATATTAAATAACTGATAAAGAACTGCTTTCCAATTAACCCTGCAAACTTGTTTAAGCAGACCATATGTATGTGCCCATATGGAAAATACAGAAATAAACATAATGGAGCTGATAAGTATTGGAACGGGACCTGGGCTGAGGGGATGCTTGGAAATCAGGGTGATACCCTCAGCCTGCCCTGCTCTGGATGCATTGCTCAA